ACACACATACAAGCACACAGACACACATATATACACATACACATGCATACATATACAAATACACAATACACACTCATACACACATACACACATACATACACACACACTTCTTAAAGTTCTAGGCAATGAGGCCGGGAGCCAGGGAGGGGCTGAGGGAGACTTTTTGTCTGATACCTGGGCAGGGGGAGTGGGGAGGAAGAGACAGGTTCACACTAGGATTCAGACCCAGGGGGGTCCTGCCTGCTGCCTCCCCCAAGCCCCCCCAGGAGAGCTAGGAAACAGCCCTGACGAGACCCCCATGCCCTGCGTCTCCTCAGGCTTCCGGCCTCCCTTGCCCCTTCCGGGTCAAACTCTGGCCCCGCACACGGCCGCGGGGTGGAGAGCGAGGACCTGGTCACTCTGGAGCTGTGGTTCTGGGACCTCAAGGGCTGCAGGGGTGGGGCGTGAAGGTCCCCCATGTCCATAACCTCGGCCTCTGCGGCAGGAGAGGGAGGGAGCGGGCGGGACCACCCCCCCAGGCATCTGTGGCCCCCGGGAACACGCAGGGGTGACGCACTACCAGACAACAGTGGGCCTGTGGACAGCCCTGTGCACGGGGGCCCTTCCTGGCCCTTCAGTTGGGCACCTGCTGCCCGCGGCCGCTGGACGGGATAATTTTTTTTTAAGAAATGGAACCTTTTCTTTTTTTGGGGGGGAGGGTCACACCCTGTGATGCTTAGGGGTTACTCCTGGCTCTGCACTCAGGAATTATCCCTGGCAGTGCTCAGGGGACCATATGGGATGCCGGGAATCGAACCCGGGTCGGCCGCATGCAAGGCAAACTCCCTCCCCGCTGTGCTATTGCTTTTCTTATTCTTATTCTTATATTCCGTTTCTCCAGCCCCAGAAATGGAACCTTTCCAAGGTTAATAAGCAAAGACTCTGAGACAGAACTAAAATGGTTAAAAACACACAGAGAAATTAAATACCTAACCTCTCGGGCATACATATTTAAAATAATAGTCTCATTATATATAAAAAAAAAAACCCTTTCCATTTATTTTTCTACCCAATTCATTGATGAGTGATATATAAAAATAGATAAACAGATTAGCATAAATATTTACTGAAAGACATACAAAACAATGACCAAGAAACAAAGGAGTGAAGTAACTTTAGTCCGAACCAAGTCGGGCGTCCAGACCAGCAGGTCTGTGACGGGGCAGAGTGAGCTCAGAGATCGTCACAGGAGGGCGTTGACGGCAAAACTTCCCAAGTCAAATCTCAACAGTGTCGCGATGGTCCAAGTGACCGACACAGGGAAGGGCTTCAGGGAGCGTGTCGGGGATGGGATGACGGCCAGGGGTGGAGTGCCCCTCCTTAAACACTGGAGCCCCAGCAACCCTTTTGATGAGGTTTTAATAATTTTCCATCGTTGGGCCACACCTGGTGGTGCTCAGAGCTGACTCCTGACTCCGTGCTCAGGCCTCAGGCCTGGCAGGGGCTTGGGGGACCTTATGGGGTGCCAGGGATCGAACCCAGCTCAGCCACCTGCAAGGCAAACGTCCTCCTCACGTGCTTTCTCTCCAGCCCCATGAGATCTTAAAGACTTGCCCACCCCCATACCCGGGTGGGGTGAGGGAGACTAGAAGAAACTGGGGTTCACAGCAGGATTCAGATCCGGGGGGTGGGTCCTGCCACCTCCCCCAAACCCTCATCCCAGTTTCCTGCCTCCACTGATGGGTGCAGAGTCCTGCTCTCTTTCATTGGTTGGTGGGTTTGGGGGGTCCCCACCCAGCAGTGCCCAGGGCCTCCCCCTTCTGGCTCTGGGCCTAGGGAGCCATGATATTCGCCCAGGCTGGAACCCGGAGCTCCCTCATGCCCAGTCCGAGCTCGGCCCTGGCCTGTGGGTCCCAATAAGCACCCAAAGAGGCTGAATCTTCCAGGACCTCCAGGGGCAGCCTCCAACACTGGGCGGGTCACCGGGCCTGGCTGGCCATGGCGTGTCTGCTCTTTCCTGCCTTCTGCCTCCCCTCCAGCCCTGCTGAGGGTCCAGAGTTGCTTTCTGGTGGGTTCTAGACCAGGGGAGCAGCCGGCGGGGCCTGGCTCTGGCTTGCACGGGCAGGCACGACCTCCAGCCGGAGAGCCTCTAACTCCCCTGGCTCCTTGGAATCGGCTGACTCGATAAATAAAGCTCATTGAAAGGATTTGCAAGAGGTCAGACAGGAAGTGGCAGCTGCCGGGGAACCTGAGCCCCGTAATCCAGCCCGGCTTTACCCAGGAGATCCAATTAGAGGGCACTGTGCCCGCCCCCCCCCAAGGTTGCGCTGGCAGGCTCTGAGTTTGGGGGTCTGACTCAGGAAGACCACGAAATGCACGGTCCTTCCTCCCGCCCACCACTGTGGCCAGAAGCCCTTGTGTACGTAGCCCAGTGGGGTCTCTGGCTAGAGGCCAGTGACTGACCATGGGCAGCAGCTCAGGGAGTACATGACCACCAATGCCTGCCCCTAGCAGGGAATGAAGCAAGAGCAGGCAGCTTTAGACAAAGGCACCCATGTGAGGACACGTTATCGGGGAACGTACGTGACAGGGCCGTGGACCCCAGGGTCAGCGGCTCACCCTTTCCCAGCCTCCTGGCCAGCAGCTATAAATGTTGCTCATCGCCTCTAGGGACACTGTGAAGAGAACTTGGGCTCCCGCCAGAGACGTGCTCTGAGATCCATGACGTCCTGTGTAAATTCAGGCAGGGCTGGTTCCACCTCGATTGTCCACCAGGTCAAGCCAACTCTCTCATCTCCCACCGGGGGGGGGGGGCTGTGAGTTTCTGGCACCTGGGCATGCCTGAGTTGGTTTTACTGTTCCCTGCACATGGTGTCTACACAGAGCAGGTCTTCCAGAACCAGGAGGGAGAGAGATGGAGTGGACGGTGAGAACGTGGCTGCGTGGATAGGTGATGGATAATTGGTGATGAAGAAGTGGTGGGCAGATGGATAAACGGGCAGATGGTGAATGGGCAGGTAGGTGGATGGATGGATAGTTGGATGGGTGAACAAATAGATGGATGGGCAGGTAGATTAATGGATAGACAGATGGATGGATGGATGGATAGATGGACGGGTGAATGGATGGCTGGTTGGATGGATAGATAGATAAATGGGTATATGGATGGATAGACGGATAGATGGGTAGAGATGGATGGGTAGATGGATGGATGGGTAGATGGACAGATAGATGGATGAATGAACAGATAAATGAATAGATGGATAGATGGATGGATAGACAAATAGATGGATGGGCAGGTAGATTAATGGATGGACAGATGGATGGATGAATGAATGGTTGGTTGGATAGATAGATGGATAAATGGGTGTATGGATGGATAGACAGATAGATGGGTAAAGATGGATGGGTAGATGGATGGATGGGTAGATGGATGGATGACGGGTAGATGAATGGATGAGGAGGTAGATGGACGGCTAGATCAATGGATGGACGGGTAGGTGGATGGATGGGTGGATGGATGATGGATGGTTGTATGGATGGGTAGATGGATGGAAGGATGATAGATGAGTTGATGATGAAGGCACGATAGGCAGATATACATCTATCTGTATTGATGAATGATAAATAGATGGTTAGTGGATAGATGGATGGATGGTGGATGACAAATGGATGAAGAACAGATGATGGCTGGATGTATGGATAATTGATGAATAAATGGATAAATGTAAAATAAAGCAACAGTCCCCCCCCTTGACTTCCTTATAGGTCATCCATCCTTTTAGTCAATGAGTATCTGTTGAGTGCAACCTTGAGGCAGCACTCTGTGTGAGATCCAAGAGAGTCACACAGTCCTGCCCCTACGAAAATCAAAATAAGGTATTTAGGATCATGGACTGGGATGGAAGGAGGGGGTGGCGGTTACTTCCTGGGTGCGAATCCCAGCTCTTCCAACAACTGACTATGTGAGCGGGACAAGCCCCCCTAAGTTCCCCTCCACCGAAAGGAGAAAATAAGGAGCCGGGGAGAGAGAGAGAGAGTATAGCAGATTCGATCCCTGGCATCCCATAGGGTCCCCTGAGCACCACCAGGAGGGATTCCCGAGTGCTGGAGCCAGGAAGAAACCCTGAGCATCGCTGGGTGTGGCCCACAAAACCACAAAACAATAATAACAATGAAAAATAAAATAAAAGGAGAGAATGACAGCACCTCGCCTATAAGGCTGTCAGGGAATTAAACAAACGTAAAGTGCCTGGAAGAGCGCCCGGCAGCCGGCTAAGTCTGCGAGCATTTAAACTGACACTAATGGAGGAGCTGGCTTGGAAACAAAGGAACAGAATGCAGCAAGGCCGGTGCCACAAGAGGCACCCACAGGAGAAGCCAGGGGAAGGCGTATGCCATTGTACCCGGAGCCGGTGGGTCACACAGAGCTCTTCAAAGGATTTGAGCAAGGCGTCGAAGCCAGGAGAGTGGGAGGATGGGAAAGTCGAGATACCTCGAGACCAAGGCCTGGCCCTCGGAGTCACCCAGCCCTAAGAAGGAAATTCCCTAGGTTCCCTCGGACCAGGGGGGGTTGGGTGAGGGGCCTGCTGGCAATGTGGGCGGAGCGTGGTGGGGGAGACGTTTCGTCTGGGCCTGTCCTGACCCGGGACCGGAGAGGGCACATGACAGGCCCTCTCGGGTGGCAGGCAGCAGGCAGGAGTTGGGTTTCAGGCTGCTGGGTGGTGGCCTTTCTCCTGGCCCCTGAGAGTCCCCAGACAGTGGCCCAACCTCTTGCCACACACACCCCACCCCCCGCCCCTCCCCCCACGCCCTGGGTTGTCCGACCTCCCCACAATGGCACCTGCCCCAAAATAGCTTCCATGTGAGGGCGAGAGAAAGGAAAAGATTAGACCCTTGCGTGAAAGGGGACACGGGGGTGTGGGGTTGGGGGGGGTGAGGGGGTGAGCGCTGAGAGCAGTCAGGTGACCAGGTGTCGTCCAGCACCACCACAGGAGGTATAAAGGGCCTCGGGCACCCGGGGGCCGGGAGTCCCTGCGGACAGAGCCAGGACACCCAGTCAACCCACTCCTGCTCTTTTGATCTCCTTCAGGCTCTGCCATGGCGCTCAGCGACGGGGAATGGCAGCTGGTGCTGAACACCTGGGGGAAGGTGGAGGCCGACATCCCAGGCCACGGGCAGGAGGTCCTCATCAGGTAAGAGGCGGAGGCACCAGCCTTCTCCCACAAGGCACAGCCTGGTCCAGGGTCGACCAGTTGGCCCGGGCAGGGGTCGACCAGTTGGCCCGAGACCAGAGCATCCAAGGCCCCCAGTGGGGTTCCCTTTCTGCTTGTCAGTGCCCAGGGCTGGAGTCAGGAAGGGACCCAGGACCCGGCTGGGGACTGAGGCAGCAGCTGGTGACCAATCTGGGACTGCCCGGATGGAAGGCTGGACATTTAACCAGACCATGTCCAGGGGGCGCCTCACTTAAGGGCCAAGGATAAGGGTATCGAGGTGGGTTGAGCCATAGCCTTAGACTTGGCTCTGCCCCAGAGCAGCTGTGGGACTCTGGGCAAGGCACACAGCCTCTCTGTGCCTCCATCTCCTCTCCTACACAAAAACGCAGAAAGCCTCACGTCAGAGAGCGGAAGCGCAGGTCCAGTAAGGGAATGCGTGTCAGGGGTCCAGTGTGGTTCCAAGGCGCCTGATGCGTGGAAGGTGCTAGAAGGTGCTAGAAAGTGCTAGAAGGTGAGAGAAGGTGCCAGACGGTGCTAGTAGCTGCTAGAGATGAAGTCCAGGCAGAGACTTCAAAGCCACATCACTGGAAAACAGGAGGCAGAGCCTCACCAAGGACGTCTGGGGGTGGCTCGAGCTTGACTTGAGAGTTCACAGTTGTGGTCTCTGAGCACTTTTTTTTACCCTCAGTTACGCACAGGGGTGGGGTGGGGTGTCCGGAAGAGTTGGAGAGAACAGACTCCTGAGTTTTGTAGCCAGAGGGATGGTGAGGGGGGCTGGAAACAGCGCCTCATCCCCCCCTACCCCGACCACCCTCCAGCCCTCTGCTCTGCTCGGGACTACTCTAGGGGCATGGTCTAAAGGGGTGTCCCAGTGTCTCCCAAACCCGGGAGGAAGTGGCCAGGGGCACACTGTCCTCCTCTGAGCCACGGCTGGCTCTCTTCCTGTCTCCTGGGGCCACTTCCAGATTCCACGTCTGGGGGAGGGCAGATCCTCTATGCTCTACTCTACAAGGGTGGCACCATTGGCGCCCACACTGTAGAGTGTCGGGGTGTTTCTGTCTCCTGTTGGTCCCCGGGGCCTCAGCTGGGTTTCCTCAGCCACCAGCCCGTGCTGTGACCTTGGATAAGCCCCTCCTACCGAGACCTTTCCCGAGTGACCCCCTGCCTCGCTCTCACGTTCTGGTCAAAGAGCCCGTGATCCCACCTGGGCAGTGACCAGGAGATCAGAGCGTGGAACCAGCAACTTTCCTTGGTACTCTGGGACCCATGCCCTGGGGGACAGTGACCTCGGAAGTCTTTTGTTTGTTTATTTATTTTTTTGTTTTGTATTTTTGAGCCACAGAGCTAACTCCTGGCTCTGCCCTACTCAGGAATTTCTCCCGGGGGAGTTCCGGGGACCCTATGGGGTGCTGGGGCTCAAACCCGGGCAGGCTGTGTGCAAGGCTGACGCCCACCCCACTGTAATAGGCCTTTGGAGGCCTTGAAGGAGACTCGGGTATTGGGGGGGGCAGATACTTCCTCCTTTCCCAGGCTGGATCTGAGAGGTGCCAGGGGCCGGGTGCCAGGGACGAGACGTGATGGCCAATCTCCTGTCAGGCGGCAGACGCCACACCAACTGGTCCTGGCTGCGGCATGGAGCTGGGGTGGGGCCGGGACGGTGATGCCAATGTCAGGGGTGCGGGTACTCGCAGGGGCCCAGGGCTCTCAGGCTGGGCCAGACTGGACCCGGGCTTTCTTGCTGACCTTGGAGAGGTCACTCCTTGCCCTCAAGTAGGGGGAGGGCAGCTCTGTCCACCAGAGTCTGTTTAATATAGCACCGAGCGTGGCCCTTGCAGACCCATATCAGAATTTCTAGAACCTGAGAGGCTGTGAGATCAGTGGGAGATTCTGGTCCTGAAAGGTGGGGGGGGGGGGGGCAGGAGGGAAGGGTCCCTGAACATCACTGGGTGTGACCAAAAAAGCAACAAAAATAAATAAATAAAAATTAAGGGCTGGAGTGATACCACAGCGGGGAGGGCATTTGCCTTGTACGCAGCCAATCCGGGTTCAATTCCCAGCATCCCATAGGGTCCCCTGAGCACCGCCAGGAGTGATTTCTGAGTGCAGAGCCAGGAGTAACCCCTGTGCATTGCTGGGTGTGATCCAAAAAGAAAAAAAATTAATAATAATAATAATCTTTGGGGGCTGGATCGATAGTACAGTGGGTAGGGTGTTTGCCTTGCACGTGGCCGACCCGGGTTCGATTCCCAGCATCCCATAGGGTCCCCTGAGCACCGCCAGGAGTAATTCCTGAGTGCAGAGACAGGAGTAATCCCTGTGCATCACCAAGGTGTGACCCCAAGAGCCAAAATAATAATAATAATAATAATCATCTTTTCTGCTTTCCTAATGTCTGCCACTGAACAAAATGTTGTGAGGTTATGGGAAGCTTGAAAATTCGTCCTGGAGGCCAATGCTCCTTAAGTTACACAGAGAAAATAGAGCCGGGCAAGGGTGACTGTAGGGAACATGCAGATTCCCAATCTGATGGCAGAGGTGAGGGTGGAGGTGATGGGAGGGTGGAGTAATGGTGTTGATGGTGGAGGCTATGATGGTCTCCATGAGGTCAGTGACAAAGGTGAGAACTGTCGAGGTGATAGCAGTTGAGAGGGGGACAGCAGGAACGTTCTAAGACACAGTGGCCCCCAGACTCGGCCTTGCGTGCTTCACAGATACCATGAGGGCGCCTGGATCAAAGGAGAGGTCAGGTGGGGTCCCCACGGTCCCGAAGCTTGTGAGCCGCGTCTCTGTTCTCTGTGCCCTGTAGACCCTCGACCTCAGCCCGGCCTTTCGTTCTAGAGCACAGGCGTTCGCAAGTCTGGGTGCTTGTGGTTCTACTGTGGGGGTCCTCTCGGGTCCAGTTCCAAGTGGGCCTGCTGGGAAGGGTCCTCCCCTTGCTAAGGGATGAGCGAGCTGGTAGACAGCAGCTTAGAGGGGACGCTGGTATCAGGCCAGCCAGGACTGCTGAGACGCTGGCCCTCATCCCGTCCCCGCCCCTTTCCGGCCGTCTCTGCAGGCCTGGGGCTCACGCCAGCCCACAGCCAAGCCTCTGCTGTCAGGCCCAGCCAAGGGGCCACCCCGGGGGCTCAAGAGGCCGGACTGGCCAGGTGGGGCAGGAGTCTGGGTCACCCGACTTCCCTGTACACCTGAAAGCGAAGAGAGGGTTGAGCCTAGAATCTAGAGGCTGAGTCCGCGGTGTCTCTCTTTTTTTTTTTTTTGCTATTTGGGTCACACCTGGTGATGCACAGGGGTTACTCCTGGCTCTGTACTCAGGAGTTACCCCCTGGCAGTGCTCAGGGGACCATATGGGATGCTGGGAATCAAACCCGGGTTGGCCACGTGCCAGGCAAATGCCCTACCCACTGTGCTATCTCTCCAGTCCCCTCTTTTATTTTTTTTTTAATTTAAAATTTTTTTTTGCTTTTTGGGTCACACCCGGCGATGCTCAGGGGTTCCTCCTGGCTCTGCACCCAGGAATTACTCCTGGCGGTGCTCAGGGGACTCTATGGGATGCCAGGGATCGAACCCGGGTTGGCCACGTGCCAGGAAAACGCCCTCCCCGCTGTCCTATTGCTCCAGCCCCCCGGGTGTGTCTTAGTGATATAGCCTCTGTCTCTCACGCGGGATGCTCAGGGTTTGACCCCTGATGCCGAGCAAATAACCCATGAGAGGTTGGAGGCTGCGATGACTCACCCGGATCCGGGAAGTGGTTTCTGTGTCCACACAGTGCCCAGGAGACAGACTCAGCTTCTGTGGTTCTCAGTCCTTGGTTCTTTATCCAAAAGGCTGGGGTGGGGGAGGGGATGATGGGGGAGGGGCAGAGCTCCCCAAAGCTTCTCCCCAAAGCTTCCTGTCTCCTCCGGCCCCTGACATAGCTAGCTGCCCGGATCCTGAACCTGCCGGGCTGAAACTCAAGGCTCATGGTGGCCACAGGGGAATGACCAGGAGCCGGGACCCTCGGAAGGTGGCCCAGAAGAGCTGTCAGTGACGCCGGAGGCTTGGCTGGGGCCCCGGGGGGAGGCGGGACATTGGCCACAGCTGCAGGCGGCCCCGGGCGGCGCTGAGTCACAGGCGAGGCACGTGGTGCCGTGGACACAAGCACGAACCTGCATGTCCCCTCAGAAAACAGAGCGGGGGTGGGGGTGGGGGTCCCGGGAATGACAGAGAACCAAGGTCTCCTGCAAGGGCTCAGTGGGGACAGGGGCTAGCGGGAGGCGGGGAGGAGAGCGAGTTCTGTGCTCACCCCAACCCCAAGTGTGGGTGCTGACTCTCACCCGGGGGTGGTGGGTGGTGGGGCCGACTCTCCGCCCCCAAGATAGATCCCTCTTGTCCCAGCAGAAAGGGTGGGGCTTGGGGCTCCCTGAGGGCTACTGGGGGGCAGGGGTTAGGACCCGTGCAGAAGCTCATGGGGGGGTGTGGGAGAATCAGGGAACAGATGATGGGGATGGGAGGGAGTGGGGCAGGGATCAGAGGAGAATGAACAAGTTTAGGGGCCTCGAGTGCGAAGGTTCTCCTGGGTGCAGGGAGCCCCCAGGGCTGGAGTGTTTCTGCAGCCCGCGGCAGGGATGTTGTTACCCTTGCAACGCTTCCCAGCCCAGGGCTCTGACATGGTGACCCAAAGGGACGCCAGAGCTATGCAGGGGAACAGAGGGGTGCCTTAGCGCCCTGTACCCTCCTGCCACTCCATCCTTGCCAGTCCTCATCTACGCTCCACACGTGGGGGAGAACAGAGAGAAGCCCAGGCAGTGCAGAGATGGTGCAATTCAGAGACAGTGCTGAGCAGAGACAGTGCAATGCAAAGATGGTACAAGGCAGAGATGTGCAGTGTAGAGAGGGTGCAGTGCAGAGATGTGCGGTGTAGAGATGATGCAGTGTAGAGTTGATGCAGAGATGATGCAGTGTAGAGATGATGCAGTGTAGAGATGATGCAGAGATGATGCAGTGTAGAGATGATGCAGAGGTGGTGCAGTGCAGTGCAGAGGCAATGCAGTGCAGAGACGGCTCCCTTCCTCCATCCCAGCCTCCATGCTAAAAAACCACCGCCAGCCATAGAGACCTCTCAGAGGGTCGGGAGCCCTGGGTTCCATCCCTATGGACCCCAAGGAATGGTCAAGGGTAGCTCAGGGGGGGATCCCAACCTCCCTCTGTACCTGAGCAGTGCCTCAGAGCAAGACGGGGCACTGCCAGGGGGAAGCACCCCCAGAAGCAGCCACAGTGAGCACTTATGCCACACTTCCGGGGCCTCCTTCCACCTCAGGAATGCTCGGAGCACTTGGGCGCTCCTGCTTCCTTCAGAGGAAGTTTCCAGGCCCTGAGAGGTGGAGGCAGTTGCAGGGGGGGGTCACACTGCTGGGGAGTGGCCCGTGTCCCCCACCTCTGAGCCCGGTCCTGCTTGCGCCCACAGGCTCTTCCAGGGCCACCCCGAGACCCTGGAGAAGTTCGAGAAGTTCAAGAACCTTAAGTCGGAGGGTGACATGAAGGCGTCCGAGGACCTGAAGAAGCACGGCACCACGGTGCTCACCGCCCTGGGCGGCATCCTCAAGAAGAAGGGGCAGCACCAGGCCGAGCTGGCACCGTTGGCACAGTCTCACGCCAACAAACACAAGATTCCCATCAAGTACCTGGAGGTGCGAGGCCGGGTGGCAAGGGGGCGGGGGGGCGGAGCTGGAACGTGGTGGGGCGGGGTCAGGGTGAAATAGGGGCGGAGCCAGGGCAGAGTGGGGCGGGGCCAGGCTAGGGTGGGGCGGGGCCAGGGTGAGACAGGGGCGGAGCCAGGGAAGGGGGAGGGGCCAGGGTGAGACGGGGCGGAGTCAGGGCAGGGTGGAGCAGGGCCAGGGTGAGACAGGGGCGGAGCCAGGGAAGGGGGAGGGGCCAGGGTGAGACAGGGGCATATCCAGGGCAGGGTGGGGCGGGGCCAGGGCAGGGTGGGCGGGGCCAGGGTGAGATGGGGTGGAGCCAGGGCAGGATGGGACAGGACGAGGGTGACAGGGGCGGAGCTAGGGTGAAACGGGGACGGAGCCAGTGCAGAGTGGGGCGGGGCCAGAGTGAGACAGGGGCGGAGCAAGGGCAGGGTTGATGGGGAGAGGGCGGAGCCAGGTGGGTGGGGGCGGGGCCGAGGTAGGGTGGGTGGAGCCAGGGCAGGGTGGGGGCGGAACTGGGGCCGGGCCGGGGCGGAGCCAGGGGTGGAGGGATGGGGGCAGAGCCAGGGTGGTGCAGGGGCGGAGTCGGGGTTGTGTGGGGCAGAGTAGAGGCGAGCAAGTGTAGGGGCCCGGTGGGTGAAGCCAGGGTGGGATAGGGTCAGTGGGGGCAGGGGGTGGGATCACAGTCAGCTCAAGGTGGGGTCAGGGTGGAGGGGACAAGGGGAGTCAGAGGGGCAAGATTGGGGTCCAAGCCCCAGTTAGGAAGCACTGGGAGGGGGGTGTCTGGGTCCCTCCTCTGCTTCCCAGATACCTTTTCTTTCTCTCCCGGTGTCCCGGAGAGGCCTCTCCGCACCCCCAGACCCACCCCCTACTGCAGCTGTCAGGGGGCATCTCCTCCCCCGGATGTCCTCAGCATTGCACCCATTGGACAGATGTGAAAACCGAGACCGGGAGACATCAGGCAGCTAGTTGGGGTTACCCGGCCGGCACTCCTGCTCCATCTCTGTCCCATCGAAGCCACGACCCCGGCTCCTGCGTCCCTGAGACGGAGTGACACAGGCCGTTGGGGTGGGAGTGGAGAAACCGGGGCTCTGGCCGGTGGGCTTGGGGAGCAGCAGGCTGTCTTTCTTGGTTCCGGCATACTTAAGATGGACACGTACAGCCTGGACAGGAGGGAGGGCGCATCCTCGCTGGTGGGAAGGCAATGAAGATCAGAAGAATGGGAAAAATTCTCAGCCCGAGCCCCTGAGGCAGGACTAGTCTCAGTGTCTGGACAAGTGTGGCTCCAAGGTAGACTCAGTCCACAAAGGCTGCCAGAGCACCAGCCCTCTGACCCACATTCCAAAGAGGAAGTGGGAGGAAGGGAGGAAGTTTCCCCCACGGGCATTTGAGGTGATCCAAAAATCTCATCCAACCAGGGAGGAGCATTCACAAGGGGTTGGCCAGAAGAGCCACTTTCCCTCCCACGGGGACACTGGAAGGGACAGTTTCTTGCCGCTTCCAAGGCCAGTTTCTTTTTCTTTTCTTTTTTTCTTTTTGGGTCACACCCGGCGATGCTCAGGAGTTGGGTCCTGTGGTTTGCAAAAGAGGCATTGAGTGGCAATCATGTTCGGTCCATAGTCTACTTTCAGCATGCATCTCCCATCCTGGGAGGATCCTCCCAACAACCCTTGATTTGGTGCTCCCTTCTCTATCTGAGCTGCCTTTTCCCCCAGCATGTGTGGCTGTCCTCCAAGCCATGGAGTGAACTTCCTGGTACTAATCTCAGCCACTCCTGAGTGTTAGTCTCCCATTTTGTTACTTTACGTCCCCCAGATGAATGCAATCTTTCCGTGTCTATCCCGTTTTTTCTGACTCATTTCGCTTAACATGATACTTTCCATGTAGTACCACTTGTATGTAAATTTCACGACTTCATCTTTTCTAACAGCTCATAGTACTCCACTGTGTAAATGTACCAGAGTTTCTTCAACCAGCCATCTGTTCTCGGGCACTCAGGTTTTTTCCAGATTCTGGCTATTGTAAAGAGTGCTTCAGTTCACTCTTAACTGCACTCAGGAATCACTCCCGGTGGGCTCGGGGCATCGGGTGGGATGCAGGAGATCAAACAAGGGGCATGCAAGGAAAATAAATGCCTTCCCCACACCACGATCTCTATGTTCCTGGCACGGGCACATTTTGGGAGCTTGATGTAGACGCCTCATCTCTGCCCCGCCTGAGTCTAAGACGTCCTCTTCTCCTCTGCCCCTCCGTTTCTCTCCTTCCCTGTCCTTGTCTTAGTTTTATTTTTTTGTATGGGGGCCGCAGCTGGTGATGCTCAGGGGTTCCTCCTGGCTCTCTACTCGGGAATTACTCCTGGCTGTGCTCAGGGGGCCATATGAGATGCCGGGAATCGAACCTGGATCAGCCACATGCAAGGCAAACGCCCTACCCGCTGTCCTATTCTCCCTTTCATGAGAATGGAACCTTTTTATTTTTTATTATTTGGGGGGGGGGTCACACCCGGTGATGCACAGGGGTTACTCCTGACTCACGCACTCAGGAATGACTCCTGGCAGTGCTCGGGGGACCCTATGGGATGCTGGAAATCGAACCTGGGTCGGCCGGTGCAAGGCCAACGCCCTACCCGCTCTGCTATCACTCCAGCCCCAAGAACGGAACCTTTGAACTGTACCACCCAACCCTGTCCACCAGGGGTCGCTCCTCCCTTCCCAGTCGCCTGCCTGGCACGAGTTCCCCCAAACCCAGTGGCTCTGCCGTGGACACAGGGTAGGGTCAGTTTCGGGGTCCGGCGGGAGCCACCTCCATCTCTGTGTAAGGTCCCACCTAGACTTTAGGTCTCCCAAGCACTCTGATGGCAACAGAGAAGAGGCGAGTCTGTCCCCACCCCACCCATTCACCTCCCCACCACCCCATGAAGTCACTCAGCCGAAAATCAAGAGCACTCGAGAGAGAGTCCTCCTGAGAGAGGCCTCCTGGCTGGGCCAAGGGAGGTGGGGATGGAAACCGGCCCCTTTCTCTCTGCGGACCCCACTCCCAGTCTGGCACTTGTCCTGGGGTGCATGCAGCCAACCCCAGATCGATCCCCGGAGCCTCATCAAGCCCAGGAGTCATCCCTGAGCACCTAGACAAGAAGATAAGGAAGCTTTTCATTCTTTTTGGGTCACACCTGGCGATGCTCAGGGGTTCCTCCTAGTTCTGCACTCAGGAATCACTCCTGGCGGTGCTCAGGGGACCCTATGGGATTCTGGGAATCGAACCCAGGTCGGCTGCGTGCAAGGCAAATGCCCTCCCCACTGTGCTATCGCTCCAGCCCCAAGACAAGGAACTTTTGTCCTGCCATGGTTTGGCCTGTCCTGAGCCACAGCTGAGAAGGTAGGGGGTGACCAGGGCCATGCGGGTTAGGCCTTTCCCAGCTAGCTGGGGACAAAGGGCCGAGCCCAGAGCAGCCCCTCAGCTGGTTTCCCCAGGGCTCCGCTCCCCGACGGCAGAGACGGGAGCCCGTGCCTGACGCCCTTCTCTCTCTCCTGCAGTTCATCTCGGAAGCCATCATCCAGGTCCTGCAGGCCAAGCAGGGTGGAGACTTTGGGGCCGACGCCCAGAGCGCCATGAACAAGGCCTTGGAGCTCTTCCGGAACGACATTGCTGCCAAATACAAGGAACTGGGGTTCCAGGGATAAGGACCCCCCTCCGAGCTCCCCCACCCCAGCCGCGGGTCCCCAGGGCCCAGGGGAGGATGCGGGGGGCGGGGGAGGCCTCACCTCACGTAGTCGCATGTAGAGTGTGTTCTGGGTGTCCGTCTGAGCGGAGGATAGCAGGGTAACGTTGGAGGGCAGCGGGGTGCAGGGGTCCGAGGGGCTCCCCCCCTGCTCCTTGGGAACCGGGGAAACCACGGCCTTGCGCCCACCCACCGCGGGAGGGGGCTGTGACACCCTTTCACCAAACAATGTGTCCCCACGCGGCCCCACACCCCCAAACGCAAGCTGGACACCACCCCCCGCGGTGACCATCCTGATCCTCCCGCCCCCGAAACAGCAGAATGTCCCTTGGCAAAGGGGCAGGGGTGCGGGCGGGGAGGGACAGCCCCCGCCAGCCCCCCGCCCCCCAACATCAGCCTCCTCAGCTCCCACGGCGCCCCCTGGGCTCAATAAAGGCCTGGCACAGCTCTGCAGCCTTCATCCGCGTCGGCGTGGTGACTCCCCCAACGCCTCACCCCCCCCCCCAGGAGCCAACAGCAGGGAGGGGAGGAGTGCGGGGAGGAGCCCCTTCGGGGTGCAGGTAGCCCCGAGGGACAGAGGGTCTCAGGCCCCTGGAGGGGGGAGCGCCCAGCAGCTGAGACAGGCCCTCGGCTGCCACAGCTCTGTCACACTCCAGACACCGGCTTGTGAGTGTGTGTGGATGGTGTGTGGTGTGTGTGTGGTGTGTGGTGTGTGTGTGTGTGTGGTATGTATGTGTGGTGGTGTGTGTGTGGTGTGTGTATGGTATGTGATGTGTGTGGTGTGGGGGTGCAGTGGGGTGTATGTGGTAGAGTATGTGAGTGGTGGTGTGTGTGGTGGTGGTGGGTTGTGTATACGTGGTGTGTGTGGTGGTGTGTATGCATGGTGAGGTATGTGTGGGGGGTGAGGTGTGTGTGGTATGTGGTATGTGTGGTGTGTGTGGTGGGGGGTGTGTGTGGTATATGTGTCGTGTGTGTGTTTTGTGTGTCTGTGTGTGGTGGGTGCACTGTATGTGGTATGTATGTGGTGTGTGTATGTGTGTATGGTGGTGTATGTGTGGTGTGTGTGGTGGTGTGTTGTGTATGATGGTGTGTGTGTGGTGTATATGTGGTGTGTGTCTGTGTGTGTGGTGTGGTGCTGTGTGTGTGCTGTGTGTATGTGTGTATGGTGGTGTGTGTGTTGTGGTGTGTGTGGTGTGTGGTGGGGTATGTGTGTGGTATATGTGTGGTATGTGTGTTTTGTGTGTGTCTGTGTGTGGTGTGTGTAGTGTGTGTTGTGTGTATATGTGTATGGTGGTGTGTGTGTAGTGTGTCTGGTGTATGTGTGGTGCTGTGTTGTGGTGCTGTGTGTATGGTGGTGTGTGTGGTGTGTGTGGTGGTGTGTGGCGGTGTGTGGTGTATGGTGGGGTGTGTGTGGTATACGTGTGGTGTGTGTTTTGTGTGTTTGTGTGTGGTGGGTGAGGTGGGTGTGGTGGGTGTGGTGTGTGGTGTGTGTATGGTGGTGTGTGTGTGTGGTGTGTGTGGTGCTGTGTGTATGTGTGTTTGGTGGTGTGTGTGGTGTGTGGTGTATGGTGGGGTGTGTGTGGTATATGTGTGGTGTGTATGTTTTGTGTGTGTCTGTGTGTGGTATGGTGTGGTGTGTGTATGGTGGTAGTGTTGTGTGTGTGTGGTGTGTGTGTGGTGCCTTCTGTGTGTGTACGGTGGTGGTGTGTGTGTATGTGTGTATGGTGGTGGTGGTGTTTGTGTGTGGTGGTGTATGTGGGTGTGTGTATGGTGGTGGTGTGTGTGGTATGTGTGTGGTGCTGTGTGTATGTGTGTGTGTGTGTGTGTGTGTTGTGTGTGTGAGCAGGAGCTTGAGCCAGAAGGCAGGGACTCAGCCCCACAGACACGCAGGGTTAAGCCTTCCGGGGAGGGGACCGACCCCTTCTCTTCCTGGGTGTGGTGTTGTTGCTGTTGGGGTCACGCCCTGCAGCGCCCAGGCTTCCTCCGAGCTCCTGGCTCAGGAATCCCTCTGGCGGGCTCAGGGACCACCAGGGACAGGATGCTGGAGATGGAACCGGGGTCCGCCAGGCCCCTCAGCCCAGAATCCCCAAAGCCTGATTGCAACACCAGCCTCAAGGTCGTGGCTGCAGTTCCCCAGCAGAGCCTGTGACCGCCACAGCCGGGAAGGGGCATTAGAGGAAGGTCTGGTGACCTGAGTGACCCGGTGAGGGCCCTGACAGCGCCAGAACCCGGGCGACCGCCTCCGGGTCCCAGAAACCTCGGGTTGGGGGGGGGGCGGGTCTCCGAGGGGAAGGGCCCAAGCCAGGGCCTGGGGCCCTGCAGTGCTCGGTGCCAGCACACCTGCCCTACCTACGCCCCCCCCTGCCGGGAAGCCCCCTCCCTGAAGCTCTGGGCTTTGGGATTCATCCTGATGCTCCGAGAAGGAAGGCTGAGGCGGGAGGGTCCCCCCTCCCCAGGGGCGGGTGCAGGGGAGCATTTAGATCTGAGCTGCAGCCAAGACGCACGCACGTTTGTCTGCGGTGAGTGCTCCGGGGGTCTCCTCTACGTGGGTGAGATGTCAAGTCCCTGTCCACCCCCCTCCCCCAGCCGCCAAAGCAAACGAGGAGATTAGCGGGAGAGCGGCCCCCCGCTGTTTGTCATGCACCCCACGTCCCTCGCAGAGGGGATTTGTCGCGCTCAGAACACCGAGAAGCAGCCACACACGCCTGACATGCACAGAAATGCAAGCATGGGGGTTTGTGTTGTTCTGTTCTGTTTTGTTTCGTTTTGTTTTGTTTTTCCTGGAACTCAACTAAATGTTTCTTGATTTGCTTTTCCACTCTGGGTGTATCCCCAGCGATGCTCAGGCCTGGGAGGGCTCGAGAGGGTCACTTAGATCTCTGTCCCAGCCCCCCGAATCTCCCTGGATCTGGGTTTGGGGTTTCACTGTGGCCAGGGGGCCAATACCAGCTCCATGACATTCTCTCTAAACCCCCCAATCCCACATTTCCCTGATTTTTTGGGGGGGAGTGTCACACCCAGCAATGCTCAGTGCTTCCTCCTGGCTCTGCACTCAGGAATTACTCGTGGCCGTGCTCAGGGGACCCTATGGGATGCTGGGAATCGAACCCAGGTCAGCCGTGTGCAAGGCAAACGCCCTCCCCGCTGTGCTATCGCTCCAGCCCCTCCCTGAAGTTTTGTCTGGTGCCAAGGGGCTTCTGTTGCAAGTTGTGGCCCAAGGAGGGTGGAGGAGGTGGCACTCAGGTGGCTGTTGTCTGTCCTCAGTGATGTCTCACCCCACCTGGTCCTCCTCAGACACCGGAGGCATCTCTGGGATGGTATATCAGGGCTCCACCAACCAGGGGGACACTCATTTCCCAACTTCCAGGACGGGACATGGGAGACGGGCCCACGCAGGAAGCAGACGGGCCCGAGGGACCCTGGACTCACGCAGCCGTGTCCAGGGGTGGGTGTGCATGTCTGTGTGTGTGCAGGAGCATGGGGGTGTGTCTGTGCTGTGTCTGTTTGCGTGTGTTCCTGTGTGTGATCGTGTCTGTCTGTGTGTCTGTGTGTGTCTCTGTCTGTGTGTGTCTCTGTCTGTGTGTGTCTCTGTCTGTGTGTCTCTGTGTCTCTATGTATGTGTGTGTCTGTATGTCTCTGTGTGTGTATCTGTGTGTCTCTGTTTGTGTGTGTCTCTGTATGTGTCTCTGTGTGTGTCTGTGCATATGTCTGTGAATGTCTGTACAAGTGTGTCTGTGTGTGTCTGTATTTGTATGTGTCTCTCTGTGTGTGTCTGCATGTGTATCTCTGTCTGTATGTCTATGTGTCTCTACGTATGTGTGTGTCTGTCTGTGTGTTTGTCTGTGTGTGTCTGTCTGTGTGTATATCTGTGTGTGTCTGTGCATGTGTCTGTATGTGTGTGTCTGTGTCTGTATTTGTATATGTCTGTATGTGTGTCTCTGTCTGTGTGTCTGTGTGTGTCTCTGTCTGTGTGTCTGTCTTTGTGTGTCTGTTTGTGTGTCTTTTTGTGTCTATGTGTGTACTGTGTGTGTCTCTGTTTGTGTGTGTCTGTGTGCGTGTCTCTGTGGGTGTCTGTGCATATGTCTGTGTGTGTCTGTGCCTGAGTGTGTCTGTGTGTGAGTCTGTATGTGTTTATGTCTGTGTGTGTCTGTGCATGTGTCTGTATGTGTGTGTCTGTATGTGTCTATAAGTGTGTATCTGTGTATATGTCTCTGTGCGTGTGTGTGTGTGAGACACCCGCCATGGGTGTGATCTCAGCTTCAGCTCATTTCCGCTCACCCACGCCCGGCCTTTGCCTGTGTTGGCGAGGTGGGGGTGGGGTGCTCAGGACGGGTGTGTGGGGTGTGTGATCCGGGAGGCCTGGAGAGAGTGCCGGGAGACAGCCGCGCGCCCCCAGGGACACGGCCAACCTTTAGCTCAGCCAGAGGTGTCGGGTGACTGAGCAGAGCCAGTGACAGGATGGGCGTCACCATCTCCGGGAGCCGCGCCCCGTGCCAGGGACAGGCCAGGTGGCCTTGGGGCGCCCTTTAGGGTCCCTCTGGAGCTCGGAGCCCCACCGCCTGGGTCCCCAACCCCCCAACTCTCTCTGTCTCCTTCCTGCTGCTTTCTGTCCCTGTTTCACCATCTGTCTGTCTGTCTGTCTGTCTCGCCCGCACACACTGTCCTGTGCTCCCAGACCAATGGAAGTTTGCTCCATGGCTTGGAGGCCAGCCACACATGCTAGGGGGAAAGGAAACTCAGATAGAGAAGGGAGCACCAAATAAAGGGTGTTCGGAGGATCCTCCCAGGATGGCAGATGCGTGCTGAGAGTAGACTATAGACCAAACATGATTGCCACCCATTGCCTCTTTTGCAAACCACAACACCCAAAAGGAGCGACAGGACAAAAGGGAATGCCCTGCCACAGAGGCAGGGTGGAATGGGGGAATGGGGGGTGGGAGGGATACTGGGATCCGTGGTGGTGGGAAATGGGCACTGGTGGAGGGATGGGTACTTGATCATTGTATAATTGAAACCCAGGCACAAGAATTTGTGGGTCTACAACTGTACCTCATGGTGTTTCACTAATAAAAATTTAAAAAATAATAAAAAAAAATACAGGGACTGGAGCAATAGTACAGGGGGTAGAACGTTTGCCTTGTATGCAGCCAACCCAGGTTCGATCCCCGGCATCCCATAGGGTCCCCCAAGCACCGCCAGGAGTAGCTCCTGAGTGCAGAGCCAGAAGTAACCCCTGAGCATCCCTGGGTGTGACCCAAAAAAGCAATAAAAATATATATATATATACAGTTACCACATGGGGCCTGGAGCCATAGCATGGCAGGGAGGGTGCTTGCCTTGCCCATGGCCAACCCGAGTCTCATCGCCAGCACCCCACAAGGTCCCCTGAGCCCACCAGAAGTGACCCCTGAGCACAGAGCCAGGAGTAAGGCCTGCACATCGCCAGGTGCGGTTCCCAAA